TAGCTGGCCGAGCGTTTGTCCTCTGTAGTGCAGTAACAGATTTTGATTTCATAGTTACCATTGTTGTTCTTAAAAATGTTCTATCTTTTACAAGAGCCTTTGGGAAAAATCTCCAGGGGCAAACCTCTGATGTCTTCTTTGCAGCCAGTAGCTTGACTGCAGTGCTGCATTCACTCAATGAAGTGATGGAAAATATTGAAGTTTATCATGAATTTTGGTTTGAGGAAGCCACAAATTTGGCAACCAAACTTGATATTCAGATGAAACTCCCTGGGAAATTCCGCAGAGCACAGCAAGGTAACCTGGAATCTCCACTAACCTCTGAGGGTTACTATAAAGAAACTCTAAGTGTTCCAACAGTGGAACACATTATTCAGGAACTGAAAGATATATTCTCAGAACAGCACCTCAAAGCTCTTAAATGCTTATCTCTGGTACCCTCTGTCATGGGACAGCTCAAATTCAATACGTCAGAGGAGCACCATGCTGACATGTATAGAAGTGACTTACCCAATCCTGACACGCTCTCAGCCGAGCTGCACTGTTGGAGAATCAAGTGGAAACATAGAGGGAAAGATATAGAGCTTCCATCCACCATTTATGAAGCCCTCCATCTGCCAGACATCAAGTTTTTTCCTAATGTTTATGCACTGCTGAAGGTGCTATGTATTCTTCCTGTGATGAAGGTTGAGAATGAACGCTATGAAAATGGGCGAAAACGTCTCAAAGCATACCTGAGGAACACTTTGACAGACCAAAGGTCAAGTAACTTGGCTTTGCTTAACATAAATTTTGATATAAAACATGATCTGGATTTAATGGTGGACACATATATCAAACTCTATACAGCTAAGTCAGAGCTTCCTACAGATAATTCAGAAACCATTGAGAATACCTAAGAGACTTTTAAAATAGGCTTTGTCTTATATTTGACATTTGAAAACATCTTACAGAAAAGCTGTAAGGTGTACGTAGGCCACTTAATCACTGAATATCTTGACCAGTAGGCCTCCCATTGAGTACATTAGCCATTGATAATCTGCCTGTTTAAATGGTCCCTGTTTCAACTCTCATGCTTTGGAGACCTAACTGTTCTTCTAGAAGATAGCATTGAAAAGTGCCATGTTACACTTCTGCGTGATTTCTGCTGATGGCACTTTGGAATTGTTTTAGTTAAGTTATTTTAGACATAACATTTATCACTGGACCCAATTGTCAGGTATTATCAGTTCTTCAAAGAAATAAATTTTGAGGAGGTGTGGGAGGAAGGAATACATTTTACAAAATATTACAATGAAGCTTACAATTGACCTTTGAATAGTAGGAGTTTTAAGTATGTTGTTAAAAATCTATAATGGACAGTTAAGGGAATCACCAGACAGTGAGAGAAACATGTGAGCTCACCAAACAAGGATTTCAGTATAGATTTTGTCAACATCAAATGAACTTAAAGGAACAAGTGACAGTTAAAGGTTGAATGGAAGAGCCTGCCATTGTTGTTCCACATCTGGTTGTTGCTGTTTACATTTCCTTGTTGAGCCCACATCTTCATAAGCTTTCTAGCAGGTATATGTTGGACACTTCTATTTCATGGTCAAGACAGGATCAGAAGCCATGGATACTGACAACTGATTTGTCTGTTTTCTTCTGTCTCTTTCCATGACTATATCTACTGCCTCATCTTGATTTATAAGCAAAACCTGGAAAACCTACAAAAATAAGCATTTTGTGGTTTATCTGGGAATAATACAGAAAATATTGCTGTTATTTTTGGTGAAGAAAATCAATTTTGTATAGTTTATTTCAACTTAAATAAAATGTGAATTTTGTTTAAAGTTCAGGTACATTATTTTTGGTGGGGACAAAACAGATTGTTATGGTAAATTCTTTCAGAAATATTTATCACTTTCACAATTGAAGATAAGTTTTTTTTTTTTGGTACCTGGTTTACTACTTGGGGTATATAAAAAGACATTTTAAGTTAGAAATTATTGAATGTGAAGTTTATCTAACTGATTTTTTTTTTTTTAATATTATATGCTGTATGGCCCCTGATAGAAACTGTCAGAGTTTGTGTAATTGTTGCTGGCTAAAATGTGAATGAGTGAATATAATTGCAGAGATGTCATTGAATTATTTTATGTTGGGATAAGTGAGTTTCAGAAAACAGAATGGGGTGCATTTGTGGAGTGCTGGATCTTAATGACAACCGGCAGTGCATTTCCCTGTCGTGGGCAAGCCCAGCAGATGTGTCAAATCAGGACACGTTACCCATGCAGGTTATATAAAAGGTGACAGAGTTTATCTTACAGCCAGAGCTCTAGGAGATGCCTCTGTCCTTGGCAGAAAGAACTGATCAGGTTCATGATGGCAGGATGACAATGAAGGAGACACAGAGCTGGCCTTTTAATACCTGCATCCCATTCTTAGGACACTTAAGAGTGGTGTGACCTCTCTTAAGTCACACCAAGAGACTTGATATGTTTCCTCAACTGGAAAGCCATGCTTATGGTTGTGCTATGAGGGTTAGATAATTTATCATCAGTTACCTGTTACTCTTATCAGCATTCCAAAACTTAGTGGCTTAAAAAAACAGTTTACCATTTCTCACAGTTTTGTGGTTTGGTTAAGTGGTTCTTTTGCTAGACTCATCTGGGCTCTCTGCATTCAGCTGGCAGATTGAGGGCTGGGGGGGTACAGCTGGGTCTCTTCATATGGTCTTTTATCTTGGGCTTATGGCGTGGTGGTCTCAGAGTACCGTGAAGGCAAAAGCAGTAGCTTCAAAGCCTGGCTCAAGAAGTCACAGAACGTCACTTTCACCACATTTTTTTGGTGAAAGCAAGTCATAAGGCCAGCCTCCATTCAAGGGAAGAGGAAATACACTCCTCATCTTGATGGGAGGAGCTGCAAAATATGGTCCTGTTTTCAGTCTGCCATAATAATATATCCAAAATATTTATGCCACAAACGTTGGTTAAGCTTTTAAGGTGCCCATCATTTGTTTTTATAATCTCTGTATGTTCTCTAAGTTAATTTGGAAATTTATTGAAAGCTTAAAAACCATAATTTGTTAAGCAGCGTTTTCTCAAACTGGTATTAGAAGGTAGATTGAGTCAATGGTAGTCTCCCCACAGATAAGACAAAGACTGTCATTTTTGTAAGATTAGATAGTTAAAAACTGGTAGGCCTAGTGACTGTTCCACAAATATTAGTTGAAGGCTTACTATGTGCCAGGCTTCTCGGTTAAGTGCTGGCAAAAACGGATGCACTTTCTTAGCACAGAGTTCACAGCCTAGAGCTGGCCCACGAGACTATAATTGTATTTAATTATAACTGCACACACACTTTATAGAGTTAAGTGACCAGATTTATTGAAATTAAAGGAAAAGAAAATAGGTTATCAATAAAAGCCTGTGCATTTTTAAACAATCTGTATTGTATCTGAATAGTTTGCCAAATATACTAGCAAATGTATTCAAGATTTATATTTAATTGGAGAAATTTTTGCTTTTGACATATCCACTCATTTTGGGGGAAAAAAAGTTACACAGTTCAAGCCTGACATTTGTTACCTGCAAAATAAGTGAGAACAAATGCTTTATTAATATTATGTAATTTTCATTTAATTCTTAACAATAACCCTGTGAGGTAAATAGTAGTTGACTGAGTTGAAAGAGACCCCTCCTCTTGAGGCCAGTTCCTCAGCAGTAACTTAGTTGGATTCGGTTTTTGTTTCATATTAGGGACAGCCACTTGTTAAGTGCTTCTTAAAGTGAGTAATTCATAAAACATAAGAAGATTGTACTTACAGTACTTATTTATATAATACTTTGAATCTATCATTCAGGTTCTCAGAAGAACTCAGGCAAGTATTATCCCCATTTTGCAGTTGAGAAATCAGTCTCACAAAGGTAAATGAATTGCCCCAAATTATGTAGCTAATAAGTGCCAGAGCCAGGTACTTCAATCCAGTCCTTCAGTCCTAGAATTGATTGTGAAAGCCGCTTCATTCTTAAGGTTTGTGGAAGAAATATTTGCCTTAGGAATATGCTCCTTTTATGTTCTTGCTTGATCCGTTGCCAGCTTTCAGCACAGCATCTCTAAAATGCATTCATTATAGTCGACGTGGGTTCTTTGCAAAAAAAAAAATGAAGCCTGA